ATTATTATTAATTTAACAGCTTTATAAGTGTATGTAAAAATAAATCTGAAAAATAATTCAAAACTGTTCAAATTATTTTAATTAAGAGGCTCATTTATCCATAAATTCTAAGGGTTAAACACAAGAATTTATTTCATTTAAGACTTGAAAGATATCAATTTCAGTGTCAAAAGAAACTTAAAACAAAAACAATAATAATGAATAGCAACAAGGCATTGTTTATTCAAATAAATCTTTATATCTAATATCTAAAACAGTCTCTATTAATAACGATGGAGGAAGATAAATGCCTCATTGTGGTTTAAAAAACATGTTAAATATCCTTAATCTGAATTAACTAACACAGTTATCAACAAATGGAAAATTCTACTCTGTGAAGAGCACTTAAGCATCTACCACTAAGTGCAGCTTCATCAGAAGCTATACCTCATTATACCTGAAAAGAATTAAACTGCTATATCTATTTCCTGTCATTTACATCCCTTTGTATAGGAAATTATGTAATGCATTTAATGTTTTACCAAGATGTACTTTTTATTCTCTTGTTTTTATAGAGCAAATTGTAGATTAATCATAATAAAACACACTTACAATACTTAAAGATACTTTTAATGTACTAGAATTATATAGTTGTCAAAAGCTTACCTTATTCAGATGTCTGGTGTTATTGTACCCTGACTCTTTGTATGTGACACTTTATATACTATCACCCTCTAAAAGCCCAGTGGCATTATCTGGTGTTTTGTCAGTAATTACTGGTGATCCATACTGTAGTATCACCATCTCTTTCCCTTATGGAACTACAGTATTCCCCATTGGTGAGCAAACATGATATTGTGCCATTATGCAACAACATTACCAAAAAACAAAGGCTTAATTGTTATCACTCACAAATACTTTGCTTGTTCCATATTCAATTTTATTTAATCTTTCCATTGCCAATAAAGCAAAAATGCAAATTTCAGATAGTAAGACAGAACATTTAAACAAAGAAAATAATACTGTTAATATAATGAAAAATAGATTTAACCCCAACAATATAGGTTACATTGATATATATTTATTTCTTAAAGAGGTAACAATAGTTGTGATACATATATTGATTTGAACATAGTGTACTGATATTTATAATAAAATAACCCAGATATCTATAAGTAAAATAAATGCAATTGTTCTTTTCAAAATAAGAGAGATTGTCTACATAATTTATGAAGATTTACTGATCTGTAAATCCCTTTTCTGACTGTTTTGGCTTTATTGTAGATAAGCATGTTTTTCATGATCTACGCTGTCACTACTATAAGCTGTTCTACTTGAATTTATTATTGTGATACTCTAGTAGTAAGATAAAACAATTAAACAGATGAGAACACTAAATCTTTAGTAGTACTAATCTCTGCAAGTCAACAATGCTTTCAGCTGAAAGAAAAACATGAAGAGTTCTTATCGGGAAAGACTCTTACAATGTCTCCACATAACATTATTGCTTTGTTAGCATGATGCTAGAAGGAAATCATGAGCATATCACACACTGACCATGGGGATAGGTGACATTGGGGACAGTTTAAATTGTTTTCCCTCTGAAATATTTATCAATACATTATTTATATAATATTATATCAGCAAATTAAAGGTTTTATGCATAACTCATCCTGTCTGTTTTTTATTAGATTTTCTTCAGCAACTCATGCAGTAATTTCCCTATACAGTAGTCATCGCAAATTCAGTACTTGTAACAGCAGGGGCTTCTGCAGGATAAATAAATTATGATATTGCTTTGAGTTCTTTAAAATTCAAGAAATTATTATAAATGATTATTATTCCAGAAAAGATGTTCTTATTAGGAGAGACTCATATAATATAATCTTATATATCAATATCAATATTATCTTACCCCAACAGCCTCCCATATTTTTTATGGGAATGTAATATGGAAGTATGAACACTTAAACCTTAACCAAAAAAACAGGGATATCATTAAAGATAAAACCACCTACAGTCCTAAAGTAGTAAGTACATGAAGTACATATACTGTACTTCATGTTAGTATATTTACTAACATATAAAATGTGCCACTGTGGGACTGAAAAGTCAGTCTTTTTGATCCCTGGCAGTTTCACTGAGAGTAAGGGCTGAAGTTTGGCCCTGTTCTCTTCTGAGTCTCCTCCCTCCAGCAGGGTCCCCCAGACCCTGTCATCAATCACTGTCAATCATCCATCCTTGTCAGTTATTGTGATTCTGCACATCACTGTCAATTCAATTAGAGTGCTACAGCCTAAACCCCGGTTCTGTTACAATGTAAAAAAAAAAACTTTCTCCACAGAAAAGTCTTCTGCAGACTGCCTTTTAGCTCTCACTCTTCCCTACGTACATAAAAACAAAATAACACATCTATACAAAAGAGAAAAGGAGAAACAAGCACAAAAAGGCACTGTGATCATATGTCAAAAACAGTAAACAACAGTTGGTCTATTAATAAACACAAGCAGTCAGACCATAGGATAGAATCCTGTGTGGAAGAGAGCAAGGCTGCTTCACGATGGTTTGATGGGTCTTATACAAGGAAATGCCAGACCCACCCATTCAGAAGGAACATCTCTCACTCAGGTCTCAATCTGAAACATTTAAGG